CTAATGAATTTAAACTCACAAGTGTGGAGCCACTATATTTTGGGCTCAAATAATTTGCCGAGTGGGATATAAGAGGTCCCACTCCCTCCTCTGTGTATCGGTATTCTCTTGAAGTGTAGTCACAGATATGCAGATGGAGTTTAGTAAAGTGCTTTATTTTATAAAGTGCACAATGAAAGATAAATAAAAATAAATAAAAAGACCTTACAGTCTATGCTGGTAAGTCCGTAAAATGTAGTCCTTGTAGCAAAACGCGTTTCGCCTCTCTGGGAGGCTTCCTCAGTTGCTGATCTTCTGTTGTGTACTTGGTACAACGTTGGAACACATAGGTATTGTTTACTTGTTTCCTGGAAACCAACAAACAATACCTATGCGTTCCAATGGTGGAACGCATGTGCCAAAAACCAGAAGAACTGAAAACCGGAAGTACGTCAGTAAGGAAGGGAAACCCGGGAAAAAAAGCGGCAATGAAGGTCATTTAAAAGACTACCATGTTGGTACCGCTCGGCGGGGTTGTTAAGACCCTTACAGTTGAGGGAAGCACCGCTTACTGATGCCGGAATGATGTCATAAACTGACACCAGGCATTTACACCTGAGAGCCAAGGCTCTTATTGAGGTGAGAGTCCTCTTTTATGAAGTGATTTTAGCTTATTATAAACACAGACATACTGCACCATAATCTCCTATGTTTTGCTTTCCTTTAGATTCCTGTTTATCCAAGAAGATGGGGTGCTACCTATAACAGCACAGATGCGTTATTATAGAGCCTTATCCTCAGGCTCTGAAGATTGTGAGTGTGTCTACCTTTATTTTGCATCTTGTGTATTGCAAATACCTTCTGCACTAGATTTGTTTTATGTTTTTTTCTCTTTTATGTATCACCCCACATCAAGATTTATATTACCATGCAGAGGGGTAAGCTAATATCTCCTTGTCTATTATTCAGCGCTCCACCCACTGATTATAGGGTTTATCCTGTTAATCATGTTTCTCTATACTGTCCCAAGTGTTTTTCCTCCTCCTTTGGTTGTTTCTGGACAGGGGGAGTATGAAGTCTCTTCCACAATTGACTCCAGATTTTCTTGTGGTTCCTTACAGTATTTAGTTGATTGGAGGAGGTATGGGCCTGCCAATTGTTCTCGGGTTCCGGCTTCCGACATTCATGCTGGCCGCAAGATTCGTTCTTTCCACACCAAATTTCCTTTCAAACCAATGTCACATATTCATCCTCACCGTATGGTATCTGCGGTAGTAATTGCCTCCCTGGCAATAACAGTTACTCCTGCAACATGTTGGTGGACGCCGGCCGCTGCGGATTCACGCTATATTATAGCCCCACGTCTGCCCATGGTTATGAGGACATCAACATGCGTGTGACATCAGGTGGTACAGGATAAACTGGGTAAGGAGGTCTCCCTGTGCCGGATGGCTGGCCCATTTTCCTCCCCACCCTTCCCTAATTTGCGGGTTTCTCCGTTGGGCATCGTGCCCAAGAAGGAGCCCGGTAAGTATTGCCTGGTTCATCACTTATCATACCCTCGTGGGGGGTCAGTGAATGATGACATCTCGGCAGAGCTTTGCAGGGTTTCCTGCAGGGTTTCCTTCCTTTGATGCGGCGGTGCACATGGTATGGGCTGCTGGCCCGGGGGCTTTGCTTGCAAAGGCGGATATGGAATCCGCATTTCGCTGCTCCCGGTGCATCCGGAATGCCACCATCTGCTGGGCTGTACTTTCGAAGGACAGTTCTTTGTGGATATGTGCCTGCCTATGGGTTGCTCTATTTCATGTTTTTATTTTGAGTGCTTTAGCTCTTTTCTAGACTGGGTGGTGCAGAGGGAGGCCGGGGTTGCTTCCATCCTGCATTACTTCCCTCCTGCACTACTACATTTCTTGTGTGTAGGGCCTGCAGAGTCACACGTCTGTGCCCAACTGCTGCGAGTCCTCGGGGACGTGTTCCAACGGTTCTGGGTAACACAGTAGCAGTGTCACGGGCCATGGGGCGGCAGAAGATCCAGCTGCGCTGCCTGCAGTCTCTGCTGGGGAAGTTCAATTTTGCCTGTCAGATTTTGCCCATGGGGCGTATCTTTAACAGGCGCTTGGCGGCGGCAACGTCTGGGGTTGTTCGCCCTCAGCACTTCATCCAGCTCCAGTTTTGGATTCCTTTCTGGTTTCGTATAATGGGAGGTCATACTGGCAAGCCCCGGAGGTCTCTAATGCTCTTCACTTGTTTACCGATGCGGCTGGCTCGGTGGGGTTTGGGGCCATTCTGGGCTCAAAGTGGTGTGTGGACTTGTGGCTGGAGGCCTGGCATACGACAGAACTAACTTGGAACTTGGCTTTTCTGGAGCTTTTCCCTATTCTGGTGGCTTTGGAGGTGTGGGGCTCCCTGCTGAAGGACAAACGGGTGGATTTTCATTGCGACAATTTGGGGGGGGGGTGCAGGCTGTTAACCAGCTGACTGCCTCCCTCCCCCCCGTGATACGCTTGTTATGGCACTTGGTTCTGCACTGTTTGGAGCTTAATGTGTCTTGTAGGGCTGTGCACATCCCGGGGGTTCGCAATGTAACGGCCGATACACTCTCTCGTTCACAGTGGAACGTGTTTCGGGAGGTAGCTCCCCAAGCAGACTTGGAGGGTGTACGATGCCCGCCGGGGCTGTGGTTGTTGGGTCTGGCAGACTGATGGAGTTGGTCCGGAGATCGGTGGCAGCTTCCACATGGACCTGCTATAACCAGGTGTGGAGGGCATGGGACGGGTGGGAACTGTCCCATGGGGGCTTCCGGGACTAGGCTGCTTGCCTGCAGGGGCTGGTGCTCCTCCTGGGTGACTGAGACGCTGTGGGGTTGTCCCACATGGCATGGCTAAGCTTCCTGTTCAAGTTGCGGGGTTGGGAAGACACAACCAAGGCATTTATATTCGAAGCTTGGACTTGTCACCAGTGGGGTACCTCAGGGATCTGTACTTGCACCCATTCTCTTTAATATTTTTATTAGTGATATTGCAGAAGGTCTTGATGGTAAGGTATGTCTTTTTGCTGATGATACTAAGATATGTAACAGGGTTGATGTTCCAGGAGGATAAGCCAAATGACAAATGATTTAGGTAAACTAGAAAAATGGTCAGAATTGTGGCAACTGACATTTAATGTGGATAAGTGCAAGATAATGCATCTTGGACGTAAAAACCCAAGGGCAGAGTACAGAATATTTGATAGAGTCCTAACCTCAACATATGAGGAAAGGGATTTAGGGGTGATTATTTCTGATGACTTAAAGGTAGGCAGACAATGTAATAGAGCAGCAGGAAATGCTAGCAGAATGCTTGGTTGTATAGGGAGAGGTATTAGCAGTAGAAAGAGGGAAGTGCTCATGCCATTGTACAGAACACTGGTGAGACCTCACTTGGAGTATTGTACACAGTACTGGAGACCGTATCTTCAGAAGGATATTGATACCTTAGAGAGGGTTCAGAGAAGGGCTACTAAACTGGTTTATGGATTGCGGGATAAAACTTACCAGGAAAGGTTAAAGGATCTTAACATGTATAGCTTGGAGGAAAGACGAGACAGGGGGGATATGATAGAAACATTTAAATACATAAAAGGGAATCAACACAGTAAAGGAGGAGACTATATTTAAAAGAAGAAAAACTACCACAACAAGAGGACATATTCTTAAATTAGAGGGACAAAGGTTTAAAAATAATATCAGGAAGTATTACTTTACTGAGAGGGTAGTGGATGCATGGAATAGCCTTCCAGCTGAAGTGGTAGAGGTTAACACAGTAAAGGAGTTTAAGCATGCGTGGGATAGGCATACGGCTATCCTAACTATAAGATAAGGCCAGGGACTAATGAAAGTATTTAGAAAATTGTGCAGACTATATGGGCCAAATGGTTCTTATCTGCCGTCACATTCTATGTTTCTATGTTTCTATATTTATAGTCCACCAGGCGCTAAAAGGTTTGAAGTGAGAAAGGGTGTCTTTCCGGAACTCGAGGCGGCCTGTATCGGGCTCTCGCCATCTTACACTGTGTGATGCTTTGCCCGGGGTTTGCCATTCGGAATTAGAGTCTCGGATCTTTGAACAGCAAGGAGTTCGGGGGCATTCTTTTCGTATTGGGGTGGCCACTGAGGCCTCGAGGCTTGGCATGCCAGCACAGGTGGTGCAGAGGATTGGGAGGTGGGATTCGAGATGCTATGTTTCCTATATTCATCCGGCTGGTCTATTGACATAATTTCTTTCCGCAGATTCGGCCCCCCTAGTATCTGGATCATCGGACACTCATATGTCTATTGGGCTGGGCAGCGTGATGTGATTCGGCCTTGAGGCGAGCAGTTGGGTTTCACGCCTTCCAACGCTGAGGTAAGATGGCTTGGTTCGAGATGTATGAGGTGGGTTTGGCTACTCCCGGAATTTGGTGCAGCTGTCTCGTCTCCTCGGGGTAACGAGTGTCCTGGTGATTTATCTTGGGGGGGAATGACCTGGGTTCCATTCCCATTTGGGACTTTATTTCATCTGTCAAGCGGGATTTAGCCCGCATTTTAGTTTTGTTCCCCAATGTGCGGCTGGTATGGTCTGAGGTCATTACACGTAACTACTGGCGGGGAGCAATGGAGCAGTGCTGCCGCAAGTTGAACATGCGGGATTCCCAGTTTGTTTTGGGGGTTCAGGGGATCCCAGTCCGCCACAGGGTTTTTGAACATGAGGCGGCCAATTTTTTTCGGGCTGATGGTGTTCACCTCACGGAGGTTGGGCTCGACCTTTTCAATCTCGCCCTGCAGGAGGCGGTGGAACAGGCCATGGGTGGTTTTGGTGGGGTGTCCCGCTAATTTTAGGGGGTAAAACAGCGGGTCTGGTGGCGGGGGTATGTCCTTGCCAAAATAAGTTTGTGGGGTTATGTTTTATGGTTGAGGTGAGTTAATAAGTTGGCAAGTCTCAACCTCCCCTGCTTTAAACGGTTAACTTTAGGTTGCCTGAGGTATCAGGCCCATTGAGCGTGGATAAGGTCGGCTGATGGCGGGCATTGGAATGGTATGATTTATGACGAGGGAGGAGGTGACAGGAAGTGGTGATTAGGAACCACGGTATGTTTATTGGCAAGGATGGTTGGGTTACTGTATAACACTGTGTGTTGTTATATATGTATATATGTTAATTTATGCTTATTTATGTTTAACAATTTTGGTTACAGAAAGAAGATTTTGAATAAATAAAGTTATGGATGTATTATGCAGTATTTATTTATGTTATAATAAATGTTGTGGCCTGTTTCATCCATACGAAGTTGTCTGTCGTTATTGGGAGGGTTTAATGGGGTTAATTTATGTATTAGGTAGCATCAGAAAATTCCCGACTACGTACATACATGACGGTTCTATCTGATTCTCAGATATGAAGTGCAGGCCCCAAATGTACTATTTAGCACCCCAACAAAATTGAATTTTTAAAACTGCGCTGTAACCACAGTATTTGACGGTTCTATATGACTCTCAGATATGAAGTGCACACCCCAAATGTACTATTTAGCACCAAAAATGTTTTAATTTTTAAAACTTCGCTGTAACCACAGTATTTGACGGTTCTATTTGACTCTCAGATATGTAGTGCACCGCAGGCCGCAAATGTACTATTTAGCACTGATTTCGAAATTTTCCTGTTAATTGTCCAAGATTTCGGTATTTGTAAACATCTGTTTTTTTATCAAATATGCATATGTTATATAACGTAGAATTATAATGAGAAACAGCTGCTCAAAACTTGTGAATTTAGAAATTAGAAATTAGAATTTAGAATTTAGAAATTAGAATTTTTCAAAGTGCTATGTAACCACAGTATTTGACGGTTCTATTTGACTCTCAAATATGAAGTGCACCACAGGCCGCAAATGTACTATTTAGCACCCAAAAACATTAGAATTTTTCAAAGTGCGATGTAACCACAACATTTGACGGTTCTATTTGACTCTCCGATATGAAGTGCACACACCAAATGTACTATTTAGCACCGAAAAAATTGGAATTTTTAAAACTGCGCTGTAACCACAGTATTTGACTGTTCTATTTGACTCTCAGATATGAAGTGCACAGCAGGCCGCAAATGTACTATTTAGCACAAAAAAGTGTGATTTTTTTTAAACCAACAATGTAACAGTAGTATTTAAGAGTTTTATTGGACTGCAAGAAATGCAGTACGCAAATGTACTATTTAGCACCAAAAAATTGCAGTATTTAAAAATGCCTAGATGTTGCCCACTGAGCTACCAGAACAGGATTAAAGTAATGTGCCTGGCACACATGCAGTTGCAAGTGCACCGCACTCTCTGTGGCACTGGCCTCAGGGCAGGGTACAAAAATGTAGTATAGCACCCACAAAAATAATCGCTGTAGTTTGCAGATTCAGCACCAGAATTCTTTCATAATCTGTCCCTCACAGCTGTAGCATTCTCTCCCTAATAACAGCTCATGTGACGTGCGGCGCTACGTGACTCCAGCTTATATATAGAGGCTGGGTCACATGCTGCACTGGCCAATCACAGCCATGGCTTCTAAGGGCACACGAGTCAAACGCTTCCTGACTGGCTGCCCTGCAGCCTTTCAAAATGCGCCATTAAATTGCTGAACATCGAACTCCAACTCGAACACACACTGAAATGTCCGTGTTCGGGTCCGGGGTCCAAAAACCGTAATGTTTGGTATGAACCCGAACTTTACAGTTCGGGTTCGCTCAACTCTAGTGGCTACTAAAAAAGACTGGACATACCCCATATTGAATACCCTGGGTTGTCTACGTTTCAAAAATATATGTTTGATGGTTGTAAATTACATTGGTCGGCTTCAAAAATGTCACAAATAGGACATGGGTGTATGATGACCAGCTGTGAAAATTCCAAGTTGGAAAACTGGAATGCGCACCCTCCAAATAAGGTCTTTTAGCCCCCAGAGAACCCCACACACCTATACATGGGTAGTATCACTGTACTCAGGAGATGTTGCTGAAAACATATTGTTTTTTGGCAGTAACCCTTAAAGTTCTCAGTACATGTATTCTTAAATTGCTATGTGTGTATTTATTTATTTTAAATTTGGCATAGATTGGTGGTAAAATGGTTGCATGAAAAGAGTCAAAATACCCCACGTTTAATACCTCAGGTTGTCTTCTTTTAAAAAAAATATATACATGTGAATGCTTATTCAGGGATTCCTGATAGATATCAGTGTTACAATGTAGCATGCATTTTGAAAAAAAAAATGGTTTGGAAAGTGCTACCTGTACTTATAGCCCTATAACCTTTAAAAAAAAAAGCTAAGCACATGTTAACCAGTGGCGTACACATGACCCATGGGGCCCCGGTGCGAAAATTGATCTGTGGGCCCCCACCCCCCGCTTACTCGGCGCGGGTCAGGGCCGCAACACATGGCGGCGGGCACCAGGGCGACCGCGGTATGCACACACACTTAAAGGACTCAATTAAGTGGTCTGGGTGCCAGGTCCCTCTAGTTTTAACCCTGCAGCTGAAAACATGGCAGTTTCAGAGAAACTGCTATGTTTCACTGAGGGTTTATCCAGACTCTGGTGGCTGTCTCATTGACAGCTGCTAGAGGAGCTTCCGCGATTCTCACTGTGAAAATCACAGTGAGAAGACACTAAACGTCTATAGGAAAGCATTGAGTAATGCTTTCCTATGGGCGGTTTAAATGCGCGCGCGCCTCTTGCCGCGCATGTGCATTCTGAGCTGAGAGGCGGAGGGACCCCCAGCGCCAAGGGAGTCCGACGCTGGAGAAAGGTAAATGCTGAAGACACAAACACACACTCTCACGAACAGACACAAACACACTAGCTAACAGACACACACATTTACTGACAGAGACACACTCGGCGACAGACATACATACACACTCACTTACAAAACATACACTTTCACTGACAAACACACACTCACTAACAGACATCAAACACACTCAGTAACAGACAGACACAGTAACACACACACTAGCAGACACACACCCAATAACAGACACACTCACTGACACACACAAACACTAACACTAACACACACACTAACACACAAACACTAACACACACACTAACACACACACAAACACTAACACACACACTAACAGACACACAAACACATACTAACAGACACACTAACTCACACACACTAACACACACACACTAACAAACACACACACATTTTTTTTTAAATTTAATCTTACCTTTTGGAGTGCTGGGGAGATTCCCTGGGGTCCAGTGGTGCTGCTGGGCGGGCTGGCTGTCTGGGTGGCCGGCGCGCGAGGGAGCACTCTCCCCTGACGTCATCTTCCGGCTCCGGTAGTGAGGTGGCCAACTCCTGGGCCCCCCAGGAGAAGAGGCTGGCCCTGTGGGTACATACCGGGTCGCAGGGGCGGCCGGGCCCCCTCGTGGGCTGGGCCCCGGTCGCAGCCGCGACCCCTGTGACCCTGGTATGTACGCTACTGATGTTAACATTGGGCATTTCTAAACTCAGGACAAAATTTTGAAACTATTTAGCATGGGTGTTTTTTGGTGGTTGTTGATGTGTAACAGATTTTGGGGTTCAAAGTTAGAAAAAGTTTTTTTTTTTACTTTTTCCTCATCGTTTATAGATTTTTATAGTAAATTATATGATACGATGAAAATAATGGTATCTTTAGAAAGACCATTTAATGGCGATAAAAACGGTATATAATATGTGTGGATACAGCTAAACACAAACACCACAGAAATGTAAAAAGAGCCCTGGTCCCAAACGGTAAGAAAAAGCTAAGGGGTTAATTATTATATTGTGTAACATCTTGTGCAATGGGTCCTGGTGTCCAGCAGATAATTAAATTATCTGTCAATCTAATTATGTCACAGACTCCGAGGGACCAGCGAGTGGTTTGCATTGTTTTGGCTAAAGACCCCCGATGTGTGTAGAAGTATAAATAAATGTGTTTTCTCTGCAATAAAGAGTTCTCTTGTTTTACTCAATACAACTGGTCTTGCCCACTATATTGGGGAATATCAGGAGGTTCCAGAGAGCTCTAATCACTATTCCGGAAGCTATAATCACTCTATGCTGAAGCATAAATCCAGAATCCAGGACCGTAGGAAGGTTAAAGAAGCGGTGACCAAGAGACACTAAGAGACCTTGCTATCTGTGACACTAACCCTTTACAGAAAGCAAAATTCCACGTCTTACTTTACCATAAATATGGTCCATAAAAGCCCCTCTCGAGCTTTTCATAATTCCATTGTGATTTTTGTTACAAAGTCCTCCATAAACACTCCATATTAAGGGGGTGATTGATTGTTGTAACTGGATGATTAAGGCATTAAAACCTGTATTACTTCTGCCTTAAAAATATCAAACGCAGCTTGATGTTTTCATAATCAGTTTGACCCAGGGGTAAGGCGACCTGATCTTCTGATTTATGGCCTGCTGCACACAATCATCAACACAGTTAATAATTCATCATTGCTGGCAAGCGAACTCAACTTGTATTTAGAATAACGGTGAAAATGGTTACATGAGTGAAAAATACAGCATTAAATAGTGCTAGCCACTCTGAATATAAATAGTTATATACAAATATAATCAAATAACAAATACTGTCTCAGTGCTGGAGATGATAAAGGGGTCCATTGAGTAGAAATTTACGGAGATACTTAAGGTGATTTAGGCTGCCTTACCTTTGTTATTTTCAGATAGTATCCATTTCACATTTTATCTGTTTTCAGTATTGTAGCAGTTATCCAGAGCCGTGGTTTCCTACCCCATTCACAAGACACACCAATTCCAAGTTTTGCCTGTAAACCTATAGGAACAGAATTAGGGAAATGAATACATCTTGGGCTGTGTGCCTAGAGCAGGGATGTCAAACTCATTTGTTCTGGAGGGCCAAACTGTCTAATGAAATAGGTATGGAGGGCCGAATGCATTGAAATTAATATACACCCATACAGCAGCAACTCTCTAATTAGGCGATTTAGTCAGCCGCCCATGACCTCACATTGACGGGGGCCTCATAGTCGTCCCACACACACACTTGCAAAAGTAGCCCACCAAGGGCATTGCAAATGGGGTATGTCCAGTCTTTTGCAAAAGTAGCCCACCAAGGGCATTGCAAATGGGGTATGTCCAGTCTTTTGCAAAAGTAGCCACTTAGTCACTTAGTTCATTTTGTTTTTGCATTTTTCACACAAAGAAAATGCACATTCACTGACAATATAATTGTCATGGTACGTTTAATCATTTAATGTTTTAAAATTCTCACATTTGTATTTAGCAAGGTCTCCTGAGCGAAAACCTTTTCCTAGAGATGACTCTTACCTTTGACAGTAAAAAATCTTATACATTTGAAGA